TAATAAAAATTTAAAATACTACAGTATTAAGAAACATCAGGCATTTCTGCAGTCTGAGGAGAGTTTATGAATCATCTCTTGACTTAGTAGCTGCTATCAACAGTTTACTTTTTACTGAAATCTTTTTTATGAGCCTAGAGACATATGGGACATTAACAAGGGTATAATTTACATTGGTTTTATACACTGACCGTTTGGTGTCTACAGTGGTCTGATGACCAACTCTCCTTGGAGAGTTGCTATAGGAAATACTATTCTAGTACCTCATCACTTGGTAGTGGCTGACTGGCTTCATCACCTGGGAATGGAGAAGCCAGTCATAGCCTGACTTCATTGAGCAAACAGCTATGAAGCAATATAATACATTAAGGGCACATATAAACATTCGGGGAAGCTAGGGAAAGGCTAGATTGAGTTAAAAATGGCTACCTGATCTAAGGTAAGTCAGGATGGATGAGGCTGGGGGTGCAGGCTTGGGGAAACCAGGGGGGTAAGTGGGATCTGAGAGAGGGGTTGGGGGACAAGCAGGGTCTTTAGGGGGAGTGGGGAGATTGAGGAGGCAAGCAGGATCCACAGAGGGGATAAGGGGGGCAAACAGGGTTTGCAGTGGGGCTAGAGGGAATCAGGAGGGCTAACAAGGTCCTTGAATCTTTAGCAGGACTGGTTGGGGGGGGGGGGGGAGAGGCTAACAGGATATGCAGGGAGCTCTCCCCCAAGGACTGGGGGCTGTTTTTAGCTCCCTGGCCTCCCCTACCCCCAGAGAAATAGTATCCCCAGATAACCACCCCACAATCCCACCACCTGTCCCCCTACTGTGACCTACTTCCTTAGCTCCCAGCACCAGTGAATGCCAGCAAAACCCAAACCAGGAGCAGCTTGTAGGATTGGGGAGGGGGTCTGGCTAGTCTGAAAGGAGGAATTGTCTATCTCCAGATGGAGCAAGGAGCCAGGGGGTTATAACAATAGCTCAGAGCTGGGGTAGGGGGAAGTCGGATAGGAAAAGCTCAGCCCCAGTGGGCCAGCAGCTGGGCACTGTACAGAAGTTCACTGTTTCATTGGACCTGATCTAAGTTGGACTACCTCCGAGGTACAGTTAACTTGGATCATGTTAGTCATTTTTACACCAAGGTAGCCTTCCTGAAATTCTGTCAACTTCACACTTAGATGAACCTAACTAGGGTTAGCAGGGTTCACTTAAAGGGCAGGGTGTTGATGATTTGGACTACACAGCAGCTGTTATGCCATGACTGTTACATGCATGTGAACCTCTAGCAATATAGGTGTAAAGAAACAGCTCCAACTTTTATCCTGTTGGATTCTGGATCAGGGCTGGGAAAATTTAGCTTCCTTAGCTACAGGATCATGAATAAAATCTATTCTTGTAATTAAGGCCCATTAGATGGGGGCCCTATTGTTGAGGTATGAGACAACAGCATTGTACTGCTCTTCCAAACTGTTCAAAACCAGAGCTGACTGAAATGTATGATACGAGGGGAAATGTATTAAAAATAACCCAACAATCCATAGTCAGTGTTGCCTAAGAGTTTTGAATTTCACTAAGTCAGCCTGTAAATAGTTAAATATGTTGTATATAGTTGGAACATGCAGCTACTGGAGCCTCTCGAAGCCTTCAGAAAGGCTGGACTCCTGACCTGCTGGCCCAGTTTACTAGTTTTGGCGCACACAGCCAAGCAAGTGTCTGTTCTGAGGTAAAGGGGATTGACAGGATGTGATTGACAGAAGAACATATCTTGTGAGAGAGGGGTCTAAGTGATATAATTGATTTTGACATGATTTACATTGACAATAGGACCTTTGCCTCAGAGGATTGGCTGTTAAGGGTGGGGTGATGGTGACTTATAGAAATATACAACTTCAGCACTGGAAGGTGCAAGGGTCTTTTTGCTTGCGTGGTATCCTTAAATATGAAAGTTTGTGGTGGACAGCGTGGTTCTTGAAGGTGTCATTGGGATATTTGATTCAGCCTAGTGAGAGGGGGTAGATCATGAACCTTATTGAGGCTGGTAGCTTGTTACATGGAGGGAGCAAGACATTGTCCGCTATAGTCCAGTCCCTAACATTGGTGTCCCGAATTGCTTTCCCAACATGGATTAGTTTCTCCTTGACTTTGATTTCACTCACTGTTCATCATTTTATACTGATAAAGTATAAACTATATTAGTGTTGTCTGTGTTTGTATTTCTTAATTTGTTAATGTTGTTGTCCCTTATCTCTGTAAATATTCCCTGTTGTCTGCTTAATAAATTTGTTCATATTTTTTACTTTCAAATTTGATTCCTCATATGTATCACTAATAACCACTTCATTAAAACTCAGGGCTAACATGTGTATTTCTCAGCGTACACTTAACCTGTGCTGAGAGTGAGCCCAACCCTAACGTGATACTTATTACTCACTACCCCCAGTGGCTTCTTCTCCTAAAATCTATTTGTTCCCATTACAAGAATAAAATTAGATACTTTGTGCTGAAGTATACATTCATTGATAAGAATGATGGGTTTCTTATTATGGGGGTAGTATATTAATTTCCTTGCTTTTACAAGTTTAGGTTTAAGTGGTGTGATTACTAGTTACCTGGTCATCACTTGGCAATCTGAAATGATTTACAAACCAAAGTGTTTTCTGGGGGGAACTGATTAATCCTTGAATTGGAAGATAAATGGTGGTATGGAAGAAGTCGCAAAAGTTGCTTTTTTTTTTTTTTTTTTAAACTTACTATTTATTAATATTTTTGTGTATTGTTGCAGCATCTAGACATCCAGTCCCTATCCTAAAGATCTTACAATGCAAGTGAGACTGCAAATGCACTCTATATATAATTAGGAGTATGATCATGGAAAAATACAGTAACACATGAAATATAAATATAAAATACAATTAGTTTTTACAACATCATTATTATACCTCCTAACTTTGCTATTCCTAGTTTAAATTCCTTTTGGCTTTATTACAATTTGCAAATGAATAAGGATTTGAACATTTGACCTATGCATATTAAAACAACTGGATCTACAGTGAGCTTCTTATAAGGTCTCAAATTCTGGCTAACAAGCCCATCAAAGGGTATTAGCTATAGCATGTGAGCTTGCTGCCATGCACAATTTAGACTCACAACATTCAAATACTGCTCCACTGAACAAGGGAGACAATGGAAAATAGCTCAATGCTCCAAGCACATAAGTCAAATGAGCTGGTGAAACATAGCTAATGTTCAGAATTGATCTGTGCATTAGGTATGTGACATATTATTGTGTTTGTGTAAGCCTTGAGAAAAATCGGGGATAAAAAAAAACCAATACATCCGTATATTATTTAAAATATTTCAGGCTTATTTTTCTAGTCTGCGAATTTTGGATTATATACAAAGCAGAAACTCAGCTTCATTTACTATTCCCCAGCCTCCCATCTCTTCCAGAAAAAAAATCCAGGGGATTATTTAATGGCTGTGTAAAAATTAATAAAGAGGAATGCAGGTGGGATGTTAGAAGACAAAAGATAAAAGACAACATTTTGAGAGAAATGCTGTTCCTTATTTTTGTTGTGGCCTTTCTTTCTGATGAATCGTCCTCCATGGAACTCAGTGAACTGTGCCACATCTGTTCTACCAACATCACACAGCTTCCCCTATTATCTGAGTATGACTCACAATATTCACTGCCTACCTCTGTTTTTCTCTCCAGCCTTTATTCCTTTCATCCTGGATGTTCTGAAACCTGCTTAAAAACTTAACATGGTGAAATCTCAAGTTTGTTTTCCTTCTCTCAAGCCCTCTTCTCTTTCTCCTTTGCTCCTTACTGCATCATTAGTTTCCTTTCATAATTTCTGTCTAATGTTTGTCTTTTGTTTTCCCTCATGCCTCCAAAAAACAACACATTCTACTGGTTCACTCTCTGCAATATCTTGAAAGAAATCCAAGTGCTTTTTCCAGCCCTCTGATTGAGATGTTTCTTCATCCATTGGCAATATCCCATCTTACTTGTTATAACTTCTTCCTCTCTGGACATTTTGTTCAGCGAGCACATAAACTACCACTGCAGACTGCAATAGTAGCCCATTTAAGTGCTGCATTTTGTTTCCTGCATTGGTCTTCCTAGGCATTTCAAAGAAATTAGCCATTAAATTAATAATAAGCAGTTAAATAATAACCTGCTCATAGTAGAGTTCTCTCTCACCTCAGACAATTACTAATAGGTGTGGATTACTGTTCCTTATATATAATTTTCTACATAACCAAACTAAAATGGTTAATATGTACATAAAGCCTAACCCTTTTTTGAATCATCTTAAATGCTACAGGGAATCACACAGGTGAATGACATAGTACATAAAATGAGTTTCTTTTCTCAGTTTTAGATTTGTTACTTTTCAGTTTTATTTAATGTAACCCTTAGTCTCACATTATGAGAAAGAAGAAATGGGTGCAGAGAACGAGCATGAAAGCTTTCATCCTGAATTGTTAGAGTCTGGCAAAGTTAAAAGTAGCTGGAAATAATGTTTAATAATGGAAAATGTTAGGCAGCCTTAACAGTAAGTGTTGTAGGTAACTCCATCAGCAAGAATCATTCACCACATTATAATACCTATTAATACATGTTTATCGAAACTCTCCCTGCATACTTGGTATGGAAAAAGAGTGAGTTACAGATGCAACATCAAGGCTCTTCTGGGTGGGTAGGACTTGAAATCATAACCCTTCCATGCTTGGTGAGAGAGATTCTTAACTTGTATATTTATAACCTAACCAATGCAGAAGTTTATCTTTAAAAATTATTATTATTAAGCATTTAAATTAGAGTTTTATAAGTGTCTTATTAGCTCATTTGAAATTTGTGGTCAAAGCCACTTCTAAATTAAAGTTAATTTAGATTTTTACACTTTCTAAGCAAGAAATGCCTGATCTTTCATGACTCCAGTCAATGACACTAAGAACAAGACCTCTGTGTTTCACCTTACAAGAAAAAGAAAACCTTTTAACTTACACTTGGGTGGGTTCTTGTGATGACTCAAAGCCAACTCAACATTGTGGCTACTTCTCAACTTCCTGAAAGTGGTGCTATCATATTTTCCCAAGAGAATACTTAAAAATAAGGCTTCTAGCCTACAGCCTGAGTCAACTCTGTAAAAGTCAGCCAACCTCCTCCCTTGTAACTGTTAAGTGCAGCTGACCTAGTTGCAATTAATCAAGGCCAGCTGAACCCCTAACACTTCTTTCTGATTGGCTCTGAGGCTGCTTTTAAGGAACTCTTCCAGCACCTGAGCATTATTATGCAATTTACAACTAAACAAATTCTTTATTAGTGATTTTGGCTTTCCTGGTTCCTGATCCTACTCTTACCTTGTTCCTAGATTATGATTTTGGATTTCCCTGTGGATTTGTTTCTTGGCTTCTGACTCCAGTTTGGCTCTGCTCTTAAATATTGTCTTGTAGATTGTTCCTTAGACTTAGTAAGTAGCTAATGATTCTTGGATCCTGACTGGCTTAGTATCTGGTTCTTGATATATGATTTCTGCCCCCAACCCCTGCAATTCCTATCTTATTTCTGGTTCTCCCTACTGGGCTAATAGGAGACTGATGCAACTTTTTTTTCTGAAAGGCTTTTGATGCAAAGGGAAACTCCTTAAAACTTATCTCAAGAACACTTCTCTGGGGCAGAGGCTCATAGGCTGTATCAGTTAACACACTCCTTTCCTCTCAGATGTTTTTTTGATGTGTTTGTCTCCCCCCCCCCTTTTTTGTAACTATATTGTTTTGGGGGACTTGAAACAAAGATGATATATCAAAGCTTTTTTTCTCATTACTCTGGCCATTTATAGAAACTTCTTCAGGTGGTACCAGCTGAAGATGGTCATCAGTTTCATTGCTTCTTTTAATGTTAAGTCATCTCTTTCCAAATGGGTTGCTACAACTTTATTATCAGCAATAGTCCTTTCTGTTTTTTGGAAACTTGGGATGAGGTAAGGAAATCCAGGAAGAAGCATGTATGCCTGTGCACCTTGTGCGTGCTGGTGTGGGAATAGGGGCACACACTGTGAGCAGCATTTCCTGGGTTCTGCTAGCCCATGCTGTGTGGCCAAACTGCACCTCCCCCCTCCTGCACACAGCTGTCAAGGGCTGTCATATGCAGCCTAGGCTTCAGCTGTAGCACCAGGCTATGAGGCTGCTGGTGGTGAGGGCAGGTGTTGTGTGCCTGTGCAACGTGGGCTGGTAGAGTCTGCAATGTGCTGTACAGGGCTACTCCCATCCAGTTCCACCCTGTGTGTGGTGGATGAAGCCTGGCTGTGGGCATCCTTACTGTTCTACCCCACCATCCTGCCCCACCCTTACATTTCCTGCAGTTCTCCTCCCTCTCTTGGCTGATCCCTGCCCCAGGCAGGAGGAGCAGTGCTCAGCCCAACCTGCCTAGCAAGAGCAGGGCTGAGTATGTGTGGGACGGGTAGCACGATTCTGGTATTTTTGCTTCAACTCCTATCAACTGGCTAGGATTTGGGAATGGCCTATGAAATCCAGGACTGTTCTGGGCAAACCAACACACATGGTTACCCTAGACAGAAGGGCTGGGATCAGTGCATCTTTGGATACTGGAAGGCTACAAATGGCTCGCTTAGTCTGGGAAGCAGACTAACAATATCCTGGAACAACCTGAGCAAAGTGAATTGAAAATAAACCTCACCTAGAGTGGCAGAACTCATTAGTTTAGAGGGTAGTCCAGGAAGGACTAACATACTCCAGTGGGTGAATGCTCCTATTTTTAAGTAGACAAGGTTCCTTGGGTGAATTTGATATCTTTTATTAGACCAACCCTAATGGTTGGAGAATAGTTATTAAGCAAGCTTTCGGGTTCAAAAACCCTTCGTCAGGCTAAGGAAGCTTCAGCAGTTGGTGTGTGCTCTTCCTGGATGGAATGAAAAGTAAACAAGCCAGGGGCTGGGCTGGGCTGGGGAGTCAGTTGCCAGACAGATTATAATGTATCAAAAATCCAATGTCTATGTTTAGTCCATGATCTCTAGTATCCAGCAGGTTGATGAAATGGAGCTCATGGGCTCGTCTCTGGGATGTGTTGTGTAAGTTTCCCTTGAGGATCAGGACTGAGATTAGAGAGAGAGTGGCCCTCCTGTGAGAAATGTGCCCCCACTGGTAATTGGGTATTTCTGTCTTTGATGGATTTCTGGTGTGCATTCATTCTGGTGAGCAGTTGTTGTTTGGTCTCTCCTACATATCTTCCATCAGGGCATTTGGTGCATTGGATGAGGTATATTACAAGTGCCTTTTATGATGGCTTAAAGGTGACTACAAAATTGCCCATAGTTGATAGCTGACAATATATGGAAATCTGGGACATGGGGGAAGTACCTCTGCCCCCCTCCTCACCCCCTCAACCCTCTGCCACAAGTTGGTGGGGGCAGGGCTGAATGTCAGATAGACAGTAGTCTCTGCCTGCAAGGTGCTCCATGCCACTAATTTGAGGCCAGACTGTGCCTCTGTGTTTCTGGGATGCCCATTATAATTCCTAATAGCTGGCTGGGACCAGCCTCTGAAATCTGGGACTGTCCTTGCTAAAAAGGGACATATGATCACCCCACTCCTAGTTAAGTATTTATCATAAATGCTTTATTTGGCTACCCTTAGATTTCTATGAGAGTCCTTGCCAGGGTTCTTGGAGACCAG